ACTATGAGCTGATTTCTGAAAAGAAACCTTGCAGGCAAGAAGGGGCTGGAAAGAAATATTCAAAGTCATGAAAGGCAAGGACCTACATCCAAGGTTACTCTATCCAGCAAAGCTATCATTTAGATTGGAAGGGCAGATAAAGTGCTTCCCAGATAAGGCCAAGTTATAGGAGTTCATCATCACCAAGCCCTTACTATAGGAAATGTTAAAGGGACTTATCTAAGAAAAAAAAGATGACCAAAAAGATGAAGAGTAAAATGACAACAAACTCACAGTTATCAACAACTGAACATAAAAACAGAAACAAAAACAAAAACAAACTAAGCAAACAACTAGAACAGGAAGAGAGTCACAGAAATGGAGAGCACATGGAGGGTTATGAGCAGGGAAGGGGAAGGTGGGAATGGGGGAAAGGTTCAGGGAACAAGAAACCTAAACTGTAGGCACAAAATAGACAGGGTGAGGTTAAGAATAGTATGGGAAATGGAGAAGCCAAAGAACTTATAAGGGCATATGGCCCAGGGACATAAACTAAAGGGGAGAATGCTGGTGGGAAGGTGCAGAGCAGGGCAGAGGGGAATAAAGGGGAGGAAAACATGGGACAACTGTAATCTCATAGTCAATAAAATATATAAAAAATAAGTAAAATTCAATGTTATTTACATTAAAAAATAAAAATGCACAAAAAGAAGTAAGATTGTTGGGGAATAGGTTTTTGGCCCCCCACCTACCTACAATTGTCCTAGGCCATTCTTCACCAAAGTAATCTGACGGTTGTGAGCAGCTAAAATGATGTGAATTTGTAACAGATTGTCTCACTTGATCTTTGGGAGTAATTCCACGTTGTAGATAATATCATCTCCATTTTCCATATTAGGCATTTGAGATTTAAAGCACTCAAGTAATTTCCTGATAGCTGAGCCAGGATTTAAACTGGTTTGTTTCCAAAGACTGTACTATTTTATCTTCCTCATCCTGGTCTAAAGAGATCCTGGTATCACAAATTCATTATAAGCCCAACTATGAACACTTCCCAAAGATCTTTGGTTACCATTCATTGGTCATTCTCTTGTATGTGGCCAACATTCATCTTGTCTTTTGTCTCCTGCCCAAACTTCTGTCCATGGAGATAGAATTTAAGGTTCCCTTTCCAAAGAGTTTTCCAGGACCAATTTTAATGGGTGATGATCATGATCACTTCATAGTCTATATTAAATCTCCTCCCCCCCCCCCACCCAAGTAGCTAGTTGAACATTTCCTTAAGATTAAGGAGTATTTTTCCTACTCTTCTCTAATACCTCACAGCACGCAGCATGATACAATGCACACAGAAGGCCTGTATTCCTTTAATTTCATGTAAATTTGAAGTGCACCCCTTGGACACAGTGCCTGAGACCTAACAGATGCTCAGCAAGTATTTGCACTTCTAGATAGATTCTGGCTAATGCAATGGAAGTGTCTTTTGATTTTAATGATCAGAAATAGAAAATCAACGAGAATTCAATTTTCAGTTGAAGACACTTTGAATCTAAATATCTATGATTTACTTATTGGTTTGAATATAAGGAGAAGAGTTCTTGGAACAGGAGATTCATTTTCTTTTTAAATGTTTGTATTGTTGCTCAACTACACTTGTCCCCATTTTCACCCATTATTTTCTCCTGCCCTGCCAACCCCCTGTCCCACATTCAGTCCTCCCCCTGTCCCTGTTGTCCTTGTTCATGGGTCCTTTATACAAGTTTCCTGACTTGACAGTTCCTCTTATTTCCCCCCTTATCTCCCTACCCCGTCTCTCTGGCCACTGTCAGTGTGTTCCTTATTTGCATGTCTCTGGTTCTAATTTTCTCACTTGTTTGTTTTATGGATTAGGTCCTACTTAGAGGTGAGGTCATATGGTATTTGTCTTTCACTGCCTGGCTTATTTCACTTAGCATAATACTCTCCAGTTCCATCCATGCTGTCTGGAAGGGTAGGAATTCCTTCTTTCTTTCTGGTGTGTAGTATTCCATTGTGTAAATGTATCACAGATTTTTGAACCATTCATTTACTGATGGACACTTAGGCAGTTTCCAGCACTTGACAACACGGAGTGAGGGCAGGGATCCTGAGTTTCCTCAAGCATCCCAGGTGATTCAGATGCAAGGGGTCCCCAGGGCACCCTGAGAAAAGCTGCCACACCTGGCCTGGAGGAGGAAGGGTGGGCACCACAGGTGTGGGCATAAAACTGGCTCTGCTGATCTGGCTTCTTTCCACCTAGACATTCTTCACATCACACAGGATAAATAGGAGAGAACCTTTCTAGAAGTTGAGTTCCAGATCTCGGCAGATTCTTGCCTTGATTTTGGGCCCCACTGAAACCTGACCCCCATCTAAGGAGTAAATAGAAAGCCTGTGTGTCTCCCCAGCCCCAAACCAAGGCTGCTCAAAAGGCTCAGGAAGGCCTCAAAGCCATCACCAATGAGAGGGCAGGAAGGAAGGTTAGGATATGTTGAAAATTAATGGGTGAAATGATTATCAACTGGGAGTTAGAATTACTAGTTTGGTAGATAGGATAATATATACAATGATTATGCAGGAAATGTTTTATTTTTATGGGGATGTCTACTGAAGTATTTGGGGATAAAATGTCATGATATCTGTACTTAAAATACTTCAATCAATGAATTAAACACAAAAGAAAAAAACCCTTGAAGTTCAATAATAAACAAATGATTCCATGAAAAATGGGAAAAGGACTTGAATAGACATTTCTGCAAAAAAAGATAATCAAATGGACTACAAGCACCTGAAAAATTGCTCGGCATCACTAATCATTAGGGAAATACATATCCAAATGACAATGAGATGTCATCTCACACATTCAGATGGTTGCTAGAAAAAAAGATCAGGAAGATAACCAGTGTGGATGAGGATGTGGAGAAATTGGAACCCCTTGAACTCAACTGGTTGCTACAAAGAAAAGAAGTAAAATGCAGAAAATAATAAGTGTTGGTGAGAATGTGGAGAAATTGGAACCCTTTGCACTCGGTGGTGGTGGTAACATAAAATGATACAGCAACTACGGAAATCAGTATGGGCAGTTCCTCAAACACAAACAGAATTACCATAAGACCCAGCAATCCCACCTTTGGGTATCTATCTCAAGGAACTGAAACTTGGGTCTTAGAGATATATTTGTACACTCATGTTATAGCCGCATTATTCACAAGAGCCAAAAGATGGAAGCAGTACCAATGTTTTTCAGCAAAAGAATGGGTACATGAAATGTGTTCTGTCCATACAATGGAATTTTATTCAGCCTTAAAAAGAAAGAAATTCTGAGATATGCTACAACGTGGATAAATGTTGAGGCCATGATGTTCGGTGGAATAAGCATGTCACAAAGAGAAAATACCATGTATGAAACATCTTGAGGAGTCATACTCTGAGAAACAGAGAGTGGAATGGTGGTTGTTGGGCCAGGGATGGCGAGGTGGAGGGAGAATGAGGAGTTGTTATTGAATGGCTAGAGAGTTTCAGTTTTGCAAGATGAACAAGTTCTGGAGATTGGTTGCATTTAGACAGTGAAGGCCTCACTGAGAAGTGACTTTTGAACTAAGACTTAAACTAAAACGAGGGCAAATGAACTCTGTAGTTATTTTGGGGAAAAGATTCCAGGTGGAGGAATTAGGAAGTGCTAAGGCTATAGAGGCAGAAACTCCTGGCACACAAACAGGTGGAGTGAGTGAGTTCATTGTAAATCAAGGGCAAGTGTGTGCAGCCCGTTGTCGATCATTGTCATGACTTTGTTTGCATTTGAGGTGGGCTTCGCAGCAACTGCCAAGGTCTGGAATCTCCCGTGAAACATGCTGCATGTTTTGAAAAGATGTTGTGTTTGCTGTGTGGACCACAGACACAGTAAGGCAGTAAGGGCAGGAGGAGGGAGTGTGGTCAGGGGACTGCAATAACCCAAGAAGGAGTTGAGGGTGGATGGGGCAGGGTGTTGGAGCTGGAGGTGATGAACTGGGATCAGATCCTGGTCTGTGCTGCCGGTAGGGCCAACAGGCATGAAAGAGCACTGTGTCATGAATTCTTAAGTCTCTGACTCTCAGAACGAATCAGGACATTGCTATGTATGTGTCAGGAGGAAGGGGAGACAGAGAAGCAGGAGTGAGGCAAGGAGGGGCAGGGACGGGCCCGAGAGAAGGGGCCTCCATGAAAACCTGTGAACAAGGCTAAGCTAGAAAGGTAACTAGTGGAGAGTTTTCAAGGAAGTGATGTGACTGTGCAATGGCCATCCCCACGTGGGTCTCTTGCTTGTTGATCCATGGTTACATTGTACATACAGTGCTTGTTAGATGGCGTATTGAGACAGGACAGTAAGAAGCTAGTAAAGTTCTTGGGCAAGTGGAAGGGGAAACTGAGACAAGAAAAACTGAGAGGAAAATTCAACCAGGCCAAACAATTTGAGCAATTTACAACCGGCTGGTAAACTGCACACCAGGCCTTATGTCCTGACCAAGAGCATTTGAGAGCAAATTTGTTTAACTTCTTTCCCTGGCCATAAGGCACAGTGGGTAAAGCAGAGATAACAGGAGGGAGAACAAACACTGAGATAACAGGAGAGATTACAGCCTCTGAGATACCAGGAGAGGTGAGGAAACACTTGACCCCTAGGGGGCCCAGCTTTAAAAGAAGCCTAACCAGTTGTTCCTGCAATCACTCATTTGTGAGGGAATCCACAGATCAGACTTGTTCTGTTTGGATCAGGACCAGGCACCTTTGCTTCCTGATACCTCTCTCACTCTGCTGTGGGACCTCCTGGCAGACAGAAGTGCTGCCTGACTCCAGTGCAGACACTTTGGCTGAGGACCTGAGAGGTAAGGTTGCATGATCCAGAGCTCAGCTCCAGACCTGGTCTTCTGGGGGAGACCCTCATGTGCTTACTTCCCAGGACACTGTACTGGAGATTAAGTCAGGGTCCTGCTGGTGCAAAGGAGATGTGCCGAGGAGTGCAGCATTTCTCTGTTTTCTGGATTTTGTCTGAATCAGGTGGTCTGCAGACTGGGAGGAGCTCTACTCATTGGAACCTTTGTCTACAAGACAAAGCAATTCACAATCTGGTAAGTCCTGACTGGGAACCAGGGGGTGAGGAAGAAGGGAAGATACTGAGGTCAGAGACGGATGTGTTCAGGATAGGTTTGTGACGTGATAGAGGAGTTTGGGGTTTGTTTCACTTGGACACCTCCCCGCCCCCAAAGTGGGCACTCTTCCTGAAGTTCTCCCTAGTAAAGAAGAATTCTGGGCAACAACATGCAAGACTAAGGGATGTATCTGTGACTGTTTTCACCCACCCTCATCCCCTCCTGGTTGGCAACTGTCAGCCCATTCTCCGTATCTGTGTGTCTCTTTCTGTTTTGTTTTATTTCTTCTTCTTTTTTTAGATGGCACATAAGTGAATGCATATGGTATTTCCCTTTCTCTGTCTGCCTTATTTCACTGAGCACAATTACCTCTGGGTCCATGAACATTATCACAAGTGACAAATTTTATTCTTTCATGGCTGAGTCATATTCTCATGACACATATGAATCATGTATGACGGTGTACACACATACCACGTTTCTTTATCTGCTCATCTATTGATAGACATCTACCTGTCCTCAGCATCTTCAGCCATGCCAACCTGCCTCCGTGTTTGGGTGGGACGGAGGAGGTGCAGGCCTCTTTGAGGTGCCCTGCACAGCTGGGGGAGCCAGGTGCTCACTGGGCTCTCACTTTCCCCATGGGAGACTTCGTGGGCCAAGGGGTTAGACTTGGCCTGCACTGTGCTGCCTGAGAGGAGGGGTGGGGGGGGGGGAAGGACGCGGCTCTGCTCCCCTCTTCAGTGCATCCCTCCGGGATGTGCTCCGAGGGGGTGCCAGGACCTCCCGCTGGACTCCGGGCTCCTGCAGAGGTGCCCTTGGCCATTGGTGGTTTTCAGAACCGGTGTTTCTGTGGAGGATGGAAGGTTGAAAAGTCCAGTTCTGCCATCTGCCTGACCCTGAAAGTGTTTAAAAGTGGAATGGGAGTGCCATCTGGGTTGGGATGACTATCTCCACCAGGCTCCTGACGCTTAGGAGAAATGAGGCAGTTCATAATGTGCTGAATCATGGTCCACTTGGCACAGCAATGCAGGCTTATGGTTATTTATTCAACTATCTCACGCCCATCTTCATGAAGGCTACTCTTGCTTATTTCAGTCACAGCAAGATGCTATGACATCTTAAAAAGCATGGGCTTAGCAGCACCAAACATAAGAAATTCACACATTGTATAAATCAGTCCTTGGGGGGTGACTAACAATCACACAATCTGGCTGGCTTGTTCTGGACTGTAGTGGCCTAGCAAAGTGGGTGCATTTAATTTCAGAAGGAAATTTACCTCCCCTTTGTCACTTACAGTACACTAAGGAAGGGCTGGTTGGTCCCTGACCTGGCAGGGACTCCTGGCTCGGTGTCTCATCTCTGGTCACTGAAGATCGTCCTGCTGGAGACTTGTCCAGGGAAGACCCATGGCCTGTTCGGGCTGCATGGGTCCCCTTGCATACACATGCTACGTCTCTGTGTAAATATGGCAAAGGCCTATGAGATAGTCAGTCACTGTCCTCTCCCTCTGCATGACACATGGAGACTCATTTAATTCATCTGTGAGACCCACCTGATCCTTCTGCTTCCCTTCTGTCTGCTCCTAGCAACATGCCCTCCGTGTTTGAGAGCACCGTCAAGAAACTGGTCAAAGAGATTGGAGACAAAGAACTCAGGCCTGTCACAGGCGTCACGAATGCCGACACAATACGTCGGTTTTCTCTAATACGGAGGAAGAAGGCTCGCCCCCTGTTTTGGACAGTATCTGATGTTCCAGTTGACATCACCCTCAAGGACATCCTCGAACCAAGTGTTGTGGTCCCAGGTATTGTCCGCCAGGGGCCTAGAAGGGGAGGACTGTGAAACAAGGGTGCAGAGTACAGGGTGCAACATGCAAGTCCTGCTGAGACACCCACACAGGATTGGCCTCACCTATGAGCAAGAAGCAAGGAAAGGAGAGTGTCTCAGAACTTTCTAATTATGACCCAGGTTCATTTAATATTGAGAGCAGCCTCTTGAGTCAGGAACATGATCCCCATTTTACACAGCAGTAAATGAAAGCTTAGGAAATAAATCTGTTCCAGGTTACAGAGCTGGGAACTGGTAGACCTGGGACTCAAACCCAGTCTGTCTTGGTCCAAATCCCAAACATGTTCTGTGTTGTGAGTTGCCTCCTGCGGCTGACACTCTGCTGGGAAAGATGATGCTGTGGGTCTCCTGGCGCCAGGTGCAAGGGATGCCATCATTCCTTCGGGTTAGGACATCATTCCTGTTATCCAGCCCCTGAGTGCATTCAAACGTTTGTCCTCAGGAGTAATTTAAATTCAATTGTTCATTATTGATAAGTGAGGTCTTCCTGGTTGAGAGACTTAATTGGGTAGGCGAGTTGGGGCAAGCTAGGACTCAGTCATTCCATTTCCATTCTGTTTCTCAGCTGTTCCCGAGTGAACTGCTGGCTAACCCTCAGGCCTCCTTGTCTGTTTGCAGACGCTGCTGTGGAAACTCGACACCTCTGTGGCTACAATGAGTTGTGGAAACAGGATGCAGGTGTGAGTGTGAATGCTGGGGCAAAAGCGAGCATCTCAGAGGACACCTCTAGCTGCCAAGGATCCTCCATTGATTATAAGATTGTTAGAACCCCATACAAAACCTGGACAGACCTTCAGAAGTGGTGAGGCCATGGGAGGGGAAGGGATTGGTCAATAGTCCCCAAAAGGTGCCCTCCTCCAGAGGTGTCAATAGATTTTGTCCCCGAGGCTCAGAATGAAGAAACTGACATCCCAGGCTCTGCTGGTCTTCTTGGGTGTGCGTACATTCATCCATTTGTCTAACGGGTGTCAGTTCTCTGATACGTATTTATTAAACCTGCAATTGTCTATCTTGATGCTATTTTGTGGTGAGAATAGACTAATGACAAGACAGATAAAAATCCTGTCCTAAAATGAAATGTATTTAGTGCGGCAGGGACATGCAGTAAGAAAACAAGCAATTAAAAAAATAAATTATCAAAGTTTTAATTTAAGCAAGACAAAGGCTCTGAAATGCTTAGTTTCAACAGAGTCCATATGCCTCAGTGTCCTAGGGTGTGATTTAACGTGGTCACAGATGGGGGCGGTGGGCAGGTGGAAGACCCACCTTCAATAATCCTGTAAGGCTTAATAAGAACCTTAAGGATTTATGCCTCTTAGAAAGAGAGATTTCAATTTAAATTGTACTTCTATCGATGTGAAAAATTACTAACATACGCAAGTGGTTAAACATCACAGGCTACATAGAGAACAAAAATTACATTGATAGGCCATGACACAATTTCTGTATTTCTGGTGTCTTGTAAGACTCTTTCAAATTAAAAAAAAATTGAATATATTTTATTGAATTTGCTACTACAGTTGTCCTAATTTTTCCTCCTTTGCCCCTCTCTGCCCACTATCCCCATTCCCTGCAGCAATCCCCCTCTTAGTTCATGTCCATGGGTCACGCGTGTGAGTTCTTTGGCTTCTCCATTTCCTACACTGTTCTTAACCTCCCCCTGTCTATTCTGTACCTGCCGATTTGTACTTCATAATCACTGCACCTTTCCCCTTGTTCTCTCCCTTTTCCTCCCAGCTGATAACCCTCCGTATGATGTCCATATCTGTGATTCTGTTCCTGTTCTCCTTGTTTGCTTAGTTTTTTTTTTTAGATTCAGTTGTTAATAGTTGTGCATTTGTTGCCATTTTAATGTTCATAATTTTGATCTTCTTTTTCTTATATAGTTCCTTTTAACATTTCATGTAATAATGGCTTGGTGATGATGAAACCCTTTGGTTTTCCCTTGTCTGAAAAGCACTTTATCTGCCCTTCCATTCTAAATGATAGTTTTCTGGACAGAGTAACCTGGGTTGTAGGTCCTTGCTTTTCATCGCTTTGAGTACTTCTTGCCAGTCCTTTCTTGCCTACAAAGTTTCTTTTGAGAAATTAGCTGACAGTCTTATGGGAACTGCTTTGTAGGTTACTCTCTGCTTTTCTCTTGTTGCTTTTAAGATTCTGTCTTTATCTTTAACCTTTGACATTTTAATTATGATGTGTCTTGGTGTGCTCCTCCTTGGGTCCAACTGTCTGGGACTCTGTGTGCTTCCTGAACTTGTATGTCTATTTCCTTCACCAAATTAGGAAAGTTTTCTTTCATTTTTTTTTTCAAATAAGTGTTCAATGTCTTGCTCTTTTCTCCTTCTGGCACCTCTGTGATTTGGATGTTGGTATATTAGGAGATGTCCAAGAGGCTCCTTATTTTATTCTTGTGTTTTTTTTTAATTCATTTTTCTTCTTGCTATTCTGACTGAATGCTTTTTTTTCTTATGTTTCAGACTGTTGATTTGAATCTCAACCTCATCCTCTCCACTGTTGGTTCCCTGTGGATTTTTCTTTATTTCATTCTTTTCCTGGAGTTTTGTTCTGTTCTTTCACCTGGGCCATATTTCTTTGTCTCCTCAATTTGACAACCTCCCTGTGTTTGTTTCTGTGTATTAGGTAGAGCTGCTTTGACTCCCTGTCCTAGTAGCGTGGCCTATTGTAGAAAAGGCATCTGTCTGGGTGAATGTGGCTTCTTTAAATCCTTGCTTGTTGGACTTCCATACAGTGGATTATCTAACATATCTGGGTGATGTTTGTTTTGTGGTTTAGTTGTAATTTTTGCTAGAGTTGTGTGTGGAGGTGAAGTGGGTTTATGTATGCCTCCACCTTGGCTGACAGTCTCTTAATCTGCCCTTGGCCAGCTAGGTGGTCCAGGTGGCGGCCCTGTGCAAGCACTGTGCCGCAGCCATAACACTCTTATTAGAACTCACATTCACAAAGACAGTTTATGGTGTAAAAGAGTATTTGAGTTTCTTTGGCTTCAAGAAAAGAAAAGAAAATTTGTTGCAGAAATTTCTCTCAGCAGTTAAAGAGGCTCAAATTTTAAGGGTACATTTTATTACCTAGCACCAAGAATAAGAAATAAGCCTGATGTCAAAATTTGAAATATGAAAAGGAAAGCAATTAGATGCTTTTAATACGTGTATGTGGGGCATGTAATGTCTTTCACCTAGAGGTAGTTACAGGTTGTGATGGGACTTCTGAGGGCCATGGCATTTTGTGAAAGAAGGACTGGTGGAAGGGAGTCTGTATAGGTCTCTCTGTGGAACTAACAGCTGAACTCAGACCTGAAGAAGGAAAGAAGCAAAGAGCAGGAGGAAAGTGGTCCAGATGAGGGTTTGAAGCCGCAGGACAGGACAGGACAGAGCTTGTATTTTCAGGAGCAGCAGGAAGTCAGTGAGGTGGGGGCTTAGCCAATGAGGATGAAGGTGACAAAAATAGGTTTGGAGGTAAGTAAATGTCAGATGACATATCTCTGAGAGACACAGTGAGGGGTTTGCATACCCCCAAAAGGGGCCTGAATTCCCCCCACAGGGCCATGGGAAAATCCACACTGGGGGCTCATGACCTCCTCCACTGAGAAGCAATTTAAGGGTCCCTCGAGTTGCTCTTGGCTGTCATCCAGGGGCCCTACCCTGGTGGGGCCTTAAGAAGAACCAGAGCTGAGTCTCGGAGCTGCAATGGAGATGGAATCTGTGTTCAGGACTTCAAACCTGTCTGTCCCCTGCCCACACCTATGTCTTCAAGTCCGTCCTACCAGCCACTGACCAAGGACAGTTAATCTATAAACACCCCCACGTGCTGGTCATGATTAATCACCCAGAATCTTCTGTGCTTCATCATATTTATCAGTTTGCTCCCCCTCCCACCCTGATTGTGTGCTTCTGGACGATGGTGACTGTGGGTTCCCAGCTTTGACAGTAGGGCTCTGGTCAGCCATGTGCACCTGTCTACTTCCAGCCCCTCAGGTGAGAGGCCCTGGTACGCTGGACATGTGCAAATTATCCCCTAACGGGGCACAATAGTTGTGGAAAATGCAGATGCCTTTCACAAAATGGCATGGATACCTCCTTCCAACACCCCCATCAGGAAATGAGGTTCCTTCTACCCTGCATAGCAAAGAAGATGTTTTTCTTTTCTTGGTAACTTAACCCGTATGTCAATATCTTTCTTCCCAGGGAGGGAACACCTGTCAAAGTCGAAAGTCTCTGCACCCCTTCCAGGTCCTGAGGAGGGCGGTAACCCAGGGTAACCCAGGAAGGCATCTCTTTCCAACTGACCCTCTCCCCTGCCTCACCCCCCCACCCCAGGAAAGTGATGGACCCAGAGCCATCATTTCTCAAGGAATGCCGGAGAAGAGAGAACAATGTCTATGTGGTGACTGACGTCGTAGAGCTGTGTGACAGTTGTGTGATGGAGGATCACAGCAGCGTGAATGTTTCGGGAGCTCTCTCTGTCTTAGTGAAGCCTTTTGTCACGGTATGAGATGGGGTCACCTATCAATAACATAGGATATAGGTTTAATTATGTGGTATTACATAATTATGTATTTGTTTTGGGTAAGCAGTGGATTACAGTACATCTAAAGGGATGGTTGCCGTACTATATACACGTCAAGTTTTATGCTAATATTAAATGCCATGACATCCTGAGAAGAATTGATAGGCGGAGTGAGACTTAAATACCTTCAAGCACGTAGAATTCACATAACTCACTCACAATAGCCAACAATAATACTTTTAATTATATAAAAATTCATTTATTAAGTAGTTTGTGTGTGTTATAATGTGCTTTTACACATTATATATTTTATGTGTAGTTGGTCCTCACTTAGAAGATTTAGAAACTCAGGGAAAAACACCTAATTGTGAACTAATTTCCCCAAAGCTGATGATTTTGTCCTGGAGGAGGAATGTTTGGACCAAGTAAAACCTTACTCCAGTTTAAAGGATATACTGACATTCAGCTTTGGGTTTCCATCTGCTTGGGTTGGTAAACTTGGCTTTCTGAGAACAGGGGAAAACCCTGAGCCATTTCACAGAGGGCAGCTGCTTATTGGTGTCCAGCGCCACGGTCACACCTGTTCAGAGCCAGCGCAGCTCTAAAGGTTGGCCATGGGCTGTGATGTCGTTAAACAGTTCGCACATCACTCCTGGTTCGTGGCTGCAGCCACTTTGTTTTGGTCGATCAGACAAAAGATCCACAAGGAAACGGAGGACCTGCAGAGCACCATGCAGACCAATTGAGGTATATTCTGTAACAGACACATAAGAACACACAGCAGAGTATCACGCACACTCTACTCGAGTACACACGGAACATTCTGCAGCATCGCTCACGTGTGAGGCCTCCCCATCAGTCTTGACTGACGATATACCAGGTATCCTTTCTGGCCACAATGGAGTGAAACTAGAGATTAGTAACAGAAGGAAACAGAGCAAATTCACAAACATATGGACATGAAAATACACACTCTCAAACCCCCAGTGCATCAAAGAAGATACAAGGGAGGTCAGAAAATACCCAAGACAAATAAACATGAAAACACCATACTGTACTGTCCACTTAAAAATGGGAAGATATTACTTTTTTTTTACCACAATAAATTAAATGGAAGAGCTACATAATAATAAAAAAGTTTACAAAATTCAATTAAGTTTTTTTTTCTGATAGAGCTAAAATCCATGTTGCTTTTATAGAACGATATGGAATCTTACTTGTATCATCAAATAAGTTATTGTCATGTCCCATCGAACAAGGTACAGATTCATAAAAAAATAGTGGAAACAACAGTAGACAAGAAGTATCTGACTTCTTTCAATATCTTTTGACTTTTAATATGTTTTCTTTTTTTAATATATTTTATTGATTATGCTATTACATTTGTCCCATTTTCCCCCCTTTACTCCCCTCCACCCTGTACACCCTCTCCCACCCATATCCTCCCCTTTAGTCATGTCCATGTGTAATACTTATAAGTTCTTTAGCTTCTACATTTCCCATACTATTCTTACCCTCCCCCTTTCTATTTTCAACCTACAATCTATGCTACTTATTCTCTGTACCTTTTCCCCCTCTCTCTTCCTCCCACTCCCCTGTTGCTAACCCTCCATGTAACCTCCATTTCTGTGATTCTGTTTCTGTTCTAGCGTTTGCTTAGTTTCTTTGTTTTAAGTGTGGTTGTTAATAATTGTGAGTTTGCTGTCCTTTTACTATACATGTTTTTTCTTTATCTCCTTTTCTTAGATAAGTCCCTTTAACATTTCATAAAATAAGGGCTTGGTGATGATGAACTCCTTTAACTTGACCTTATCTGAGAAGCACTTTATCTGCCCTTCCATTCTAAATGAAAGCTTTGCTGGATAAAGTATTCTGGGATATAGGTCCTTGTCTTTCATGACTTGGAATATTTCTTTCCAGCCCCTTCTTGTCTGTAAAGTCTCTTGAGAAATCAGCTAACAGTTTGATGGGAACTCCTTTGTAGGTTACTGTTGCCTTATCTTTTTCTGCTTCTAGGATTCTGTCCTTCATTTTAACCTTGGCTAATGTAATTATGATGTGCCTTGGTGTGTTTCTTCTTGGGTCCAACTTCTTTGGGGCTCTCTGAGCTTCCTGGATTTCCTGGACATCTATTTCCTTTGCCAGAATGGGGAAGTTCTCCTTTATTATTTGTTCAAATACGTGTTCAATCTGTTGCTTTTCCTATTCCCCCTCTGGTACCCCTATAATTCGGATGGTGGAATGTTTAAAGATATCCTGGAGGTTCCTAAGCTTCTCCTCGATTTTTTGAATTCTTATTTCTTCATTCTTTCCTGTTTGGTTCTTTTTTTTCTTCCTTCTGTTCCACTCTATTTTTTTGAGTCCCAGTTTCCTTCCCAACACTATTGGTTCTCCGTGCATTTTCCTTGATCTCTTTTATGGTAACCTGCATTTTTTTCATGTAATTTGCACCCAAAATCAACCAATTCTGTGAGATTCCTGATCACCAGTGTTTTGAACTGTGCATCTGATAGACTGGCTATCTCTTGGTCACTCAAAAGGATGAACCCTGGGGCATTGATCTGTTTTTCTGTTTGAGACACATCTCTCTCTCTCTCTCTCTCTCTCTTTTTTTTTTTTGGTCTGGTCGCTCCTGTTACAGTGAGGGGCGGAGCCTTAGGTGTTCACCTGGGCTGGGCACCCCAGTCGCTATATTGTGACGTTGTATGTGGGGGCGGGGGCGGGGGCGGGGGCGGGGGCGGGGGGGAATAATGGCATGGCTCCGCTCTCCTCGGACCTCAGTCCCTTCCCTGGGATCCTGGTTGTGCGCTCTGCCCTGGTCCACAATCGCCGCCTCACTGGGTATGCCAGCTGCTGCTTGAGTACTCACGGCCCACCCGCTGTGATCCTGCACACCCTGGATGCCCTACGCGCTCCCGGTTGCCTCATGCGCCCACTGCTCTCTGCTTTCTGCGCCGCAACCCGCGCTGCAACCCGTGCCCAGCTGCTCATCTCCGCCCCTCCTACCAGTCTGGATGAATGGGTCTACTTCAACTTCTTGGCTGTCCGACTTCCATTCAGATAAATTCTCTATCAGTTCTGGGTGTTATTCTGCCTCTAAATTGTTGTTGTTCTCATCTTGGTTGTGCGTGGAGGTACGGTGCATCCATCTGTGCCTCCATCTTGCCAGAAGTCCCTAATATGTTTTCTTTATCAGTGATTTTCTGCAGTTTGAATTTATAGGTATAAGATTTTAAAATTTATTTTTATTTTTATTTATCTTGGTTGGAGTTCTCTGAATTGATGGGATCTATGGTATTAATCTGGGGGAAATCCTCAGTTATTATCGCTTCTAATGTTTTTTCTGTTCCTTTCTCTCTTTGCTCTCCTTATATTCCAGTACACATATATTACAAATTTTGTAGTTATCTCACAGTTCTTGGGTATTATGCTCCATTTTTTTCAATCACTTTTCCCTTTACTTTATAGTTTTGAGGTTTCTATCAATGCATCTTCAAGTGTAGAAATTTTCCTGTTACTTGTTTCCAGTCTACTAATTAGACAATCAAAGACATTTATTACTATTACGGTATTTTTGATCTCTTAGCATTTATTTATTTTTTTCCTTAGGATTCCATCTCTCTGCTTACATTACTCATCTGCACTTGCATTTTGTCTATATTTCCCATTGGATCTTTTAGCAAATTAATCCCAGAGGTTTAAAATTCCCTGTCTCATAATTCCAAGATCCATGCTATAACCGAGTCTGATTCTCAGCCTGCTCTGTCTCTTCAAAGAGTTGTTTGTTGCCTTTGAATATGCCTTGTAATTTTCTTGTTGAAAGTTGGACACGATATGCATGATGAAAGGAACTCTGGTTAATCAGCCTTACTGATACTGTGATAGGATATGTTAGGAGGGAAGTATTTTATAGTCCCCTGAAGAGGTCCCAGTTTTGTTTTAGTGAGCCTGGCCCCGGGCTGGGAACTCACAAGAACTTTTCAGCACTTTCTCCCCTTTAGATGTGACAGGACGGTTAGAGGGAGGGAGGGTTGGATATTTCCCTTGCCCTGCATGGAAGCCCACAAGACACTGGAGGGGGTGTTTCCCTTTTATCAATTGCTTCAGCTCTTATAAGGAGTAGAAAACAGAACCCTCATCATGAAAAAGAGAAAGTGATTAGATATACTTGAATATGAAACAAATCAAACCATTGCAATATGAACATGAAATTGAGAGACCTGAAGGTAAATATAGGGAGAAGCAAGGAAAAATGGGCAGGAACGAGAAATCAGGAGTAGAGAAGGTAAGAGCAGGGGGCTGCTGATTCCTTTTCTCATGAGCTGTCTAGATGTGTTTGACTTTTAAGGCCACATGCATGTGTGATGATGTTATTATGCCTGGTTTCTGCCCCCAGGTTGGAGGAGGGGGCGGGGCTCACCAGGTGAGCGAGAGGAAGCATACTGTGCCAAAGGGCTCGGTGATGGCCTATAAGAGGAAGCAGCTGGTGTTCAAGGGGAACAGCTGGGGTAAGCAGGGGCTGAGGGAGGCAGGAGGGGAGTGGGAGTCTGCTTCTCCTGGGGACAGAAATGAGGAGGGACAAACCATCGTCAGGCAACCGTTGCTTCCCCACCTGTTCAGAGAGAGCAGCAGCATCCCTTAGCTGTCCAGGGCACACACATTCTCGCCACGCACAGCACCTGCAAGCAGGGCCCCACTGAAATGTTGCTGTGCGCATGTAGAGAGACAGTATCCTACGTGGGGGGGGTGGTGTAATGGGGTGCCCAGCGCCAGGGTGTGTTTGGCACTGGGCAGAGCGTGATTCTAACCCCAACCAACTCCACTGAAGGTCCCACCACTCTCAGCAGCTCACCTGGGGGAGCCACAGAGCCCTCCCAGGTTACCTCTGCCCCCACGGGGAAGCCCAGAGAGAGTGGCCCAATCAGGAACAAATCTGTGGACGTAGTGCCCTGAGCATGTAATGTCCAGGAGAAAAACTTTCATGAACAAGTAACTGCAAACAAGGATGGAATGTGGGCGCTACAAACACACCCAGCTCAGTGTCCTTGGCCCCTCCCCGCCCTAATGCTGAGTCCCAGATAGAGGTCAGCCTGATACAGCTGGGGTCCAGCTCCTCAGAGGTCAAGGGGTGCCCTCACCACACATAACAAACACGTTCCATCTCTCTCTCTCTCTCTCTCTCTCTCACGCATGCACACACACACATGCTGTTCCCTGTAGGAGCTTCAATGTAACATCTGGCTAAGGGAGAGTCCGTCTGTCATGGACCTCCTGTCAGTGGCCATAGACAGAATGAGGAAAAACTCTCCAATCTTTGTGGTCAGTGGCTCAGCTCAGTCTTCAAATCCATGCTGTGTGAGTGCTGACAAGTGTGACATAAATGGGGTTGGACTCAAAGGCTGATTTCACAGTAGTGTCTGCAAGCCCTGCCCTGCCCACTAGGGGGCGGTTGGCCCTTGCCCTTTTTCTAAGTCTCAGGCCTAAGCGGAAACCTTTCCAAGGAATGGCCGAGGGTAGTAACCATTGGAATTCTGTGTATTGATTTCATCCTCATAGCAAATCAGAGAGGAAAATAATGTGCAGCACTGTTCAATAATTTTCCATGGCGCTTGCTGTATAGCTTTGGAGAAAATCACAATGCCTCTGTCACCCATCTTACCTCTGAATGAAAGTGAGACCTTCTCTCCAGGGCTGGTAGAGATCAATGTCTGAGAGAGTGGCGACCCAAATGTATCTCCCCTCTCTCCACTCGCCTGGACCTTCCCGTGACCTGGCGGCAAGATGGGTCCCTGCCATCTCAGAAACCTCCTCACCCAAGTGTGTCCTCACAGCCAACGTCCCTAAAGAATCTTCTACACTCTGCCCCCTCCCTCCCTGGCATCCACCCCTCCACCCGCTGCAGCCTGCCCTCCGGTGAACTCACTCCACGCTGTCACCAGGGAGCACACCCTCCATCACCCCTCCTTGGAGCTCCTCTCTCCCTGGAGGCCGCCCCACCGTGATCTACGGGGTGTCCTTTAACGGGGCTGTTTCTGCTCCTTCTTCCTTCATGGGCTCCTGCTCCCTGTCAGGCACATCAACCTGATTGTTGGGCAGGTTTCAGAACTTTGAACGTTTCTCTGTGAAATCAGCCAGGAAGCAGGCCTGACTGGGGATGTAGACTTGTGAGAGGGGCCCTTCGGGAGAGTAAGATGAAGGGCAGCAGGAAGGAAGTCGGTTTCTGTTCCCAGTGGAATGGGAGACCGGAGCTGACACCCACCACCCACCCAGGTGCTTATTGACAAGGCAGGTTGTAGCTTCCTCTTTAGAGAGATGGATTCTGAAGATATTGAAAGGGCAGGGCCCCTGAGTTTCCATAAGCATCCCAGGTGATTCTGGTGCAAGGGGCCCCGACCGTGAGAAAAGCTGTCACACCTGTCCTGGGGGACGAGGTGTGGGGGCCGCAGGGGTGGGGATGTGAGAGGCTCCAGCAGGGAACCCCGGCTGTGCTGACCTGGCTTCTTCCCACCCAGAGATTCTTCACGTCGCAGATGCTGAAGAGGACACCTTTCCAGTAGGTGAGTTGAGCAGGTTCTCTGCTTAGACCTCAGGCCCCGCTGAGCCCGTGACCCCCTTTGGACCCTATAAAAACCCTGCTGGGGCTCAGCCTCGACACGCCAACAGGCAAACCTTCCCCAGCCAGGCTCCTCTCCTATGTCCTGGTCCCTGCTGCTGTGACTTAGACACAGGCCCCTCCCAGGTCACAGGGACAGCCACCTATCTGCTTTGGGATCGAAGTAGGAGTGTGTGTGCGTGTGTGTGTGTGTGTGTGTGTGATGGGAGAGGGGACTCAGCTATTGTGAGTGATCACTTCTTTTTCTCTTTCCAGAAAAAGCCCTTTGCAAACCCCACTCAAATAGGAGCAAGGCTTCAGGTACAGGAAAATATAATGTGGTCCCTCCACGAGACCCCATTTTTCCCATCTGAAACCCCACGCGATTGCCTTTGCCTTCTTCACCTGGGCAACCTGTCTGGGGAGAGGGCAGGGAGGATAGAAAAGGGTGTTGGGGAGTAGGTGGTAGAAAGTAGAGAAAGGGAGAGTTGGCAGGAACTAACTCCTGGATGGGGAATTTAATTTCTCTTCTAGGCAACACAGTATGTTTCATTGAACAAATACATGAGTGTGTGTTTGCTGGGGTTGGGGAGGGTCCTATTTGTACTCCTCTGGGGAGCAGGACCATGAGTCCCTGCCTTTTCCACCATGGCCCTGGAGCCTGGCTGTGGTTTCTGTGGGGTGGGGAGGGTCAGGGAGGGTGGGGAGGGCCGAGGGATGGGGCAGGGAGAGGGTAAGCAAGAGGGAGGGGGCAGTAGAGGGAAGAATCCTCAGAAGTGTCTCTAAAGCACATTTGGGGGATGAGGAAGGGAGATGACCACTTGCTTTTCTCTTTCTAGAAAGAATTCAGGAGCCTCCCTTGCTAGGTGAGTGTTTACTAAGAGGGAATACAAGGCCTGCTGGGTAGGAAACTGCAAAGCTCAGAAGCCAAATCAGTGGTGTCCAAGCAACTCAGAAAACTGAGCTTTCCTTCTATAGTTACATTTTGGTCAGTCCTACTATTCTCTCTCTCTCTTTCTTCCTCTCTCTCTCTCTCTCTCTCTTGCTCTCGCTCTCTTGCTATCCCTATCGCTATCTCTATCTCTATGCCTCTCTCCTTTCCTTTTTTTTCTTTTGTTTCCTGCAGGAAACTTTTATGGAGGACTTCTTGGGTGTTGTTATTCTGAGCCCTGGGGCTTGGGCAGTGAACCAAACAGGAATCCTGCCTCCCTGACGCTTTCATTCTAGTGACTTCTCACTCCCAGAAGCCCACATGGAGGCAGCCTCAGGTGTCCCTGACATCCACTCCTTGGTTAATTCTTTATAGACCTAGAGGTACAGCAGAATTGCATGCAGTACCGAGCACTTTATATCCATAGATTCATGTGGTTGTCATGATAGCCTCATTTTGGAGTCCGATGCTGGGACATCCAGCATCCTCTTCTGTGGAGTGTAATCCAGAATCCTCATTATGTCAGACGTGCCCCAGAAATGAGCACCTGCTCAGTTTCTTCCTCTTCCCCTGACCCCTTTCCAGAACCCTCTTCTCCCCTCCCTGCATTTACCGCCCCCCCCCCCCCGCCCCCTCATTTCAGCTGAGATTTTCCATCCCTCTGGCCTGTTATGGCAGCTCCATCACGGAGCTCACACATGCCACCCTCAGAGATGCTGGGGGCCAGCTGCTTAAAGGGGAGAAGAATTTTGCTTATGGTGATGGGAAAGGACTGTTCTCATCTAAGGCTTGTCTTGTTTTCTTGTCGGAGGACAGATTTTAATTGCCTACATGAGGAGGTTTCCCTGGAAGTAAGCACAGTGGACCAGTTCTCAAAGGACTTCAAGGACGCTGTGTTCTCCAACATCCTGGCCATGCTGGGGGACCGAAAGGCCCTCCAGGACCTCATGGACACGGTGAGGGGTCCCACTGCTACTGAAGCTGATCAGACTTGTAAATGGGGGATGTTTCAGAGATCTGACTGCTGAGATATATGGGGAAACAAGAATGGGGTCATCTCAGGGGGCTGAGGGGATGTCTGAGACTGGGGACCATGGCTCTGTCCCCAGTGAGCAGGGCCGGGGAGTGCAGCCCCCACTGAGTGATGGTGCCCAGTGTCCCCAGGGGCTATATGGAGCCACTACCCTGCTCCTTGGTTGCTCACTTATAAACACAGCATTTGCAGGCAAAATTACATGGTACTGTCACACTCATTAATAATTCCTGTCTCCTATAGCTTGAACAGGAACCCTTGGGTCATTTGGATGGCCCTGGTGGCACCATCCTAAATGAACTGCAAAAGGACTCGAGCTATGCATATAATGGCTCACAGCACCTCATCCTTTACCTGCTTGAAGCCATCATGGGTAAGAGTGATTTGGAAGGACATTGTGGGTGGGGGTCACAAGGTTGGTCTCCCAGAGACCCCAGAAGAGCTGCCATTTCTTCAAAACCCTTGAAATGTTATGATTTTTCATCCTCACCTCACATTTCTCTCCAAGGTCAGCAGGGCCTAGTGTGAGAAACTTGCCACATGACACAGAAAGAGCTAGAAAGAGCAGTCCAGGTTCATCCCATGTATCACTGAGGGTGGATGGTCCCAAGCTGCAGCCACAGAATCCGCCCTCTGGCCCATGTCAGGGAGCACCCTGGAGACCATCCCAAGAGCCGAAGGAGGCCTTCCCAGGGCAGGGACCTTGACCTCCAAGGCTAAGGAGTCTTATTCCTCTGCCTTAGAGTTCGCCTCACTAGGGGAAAAGGAATATCTGACTGTCTTTCCCCAAATGTCCCCTGTCCCCAGCGCTGAATGATATCCAACACGGTCTGCTGGCCCAATCCATGGAGAAGAAGATCCTCTCCCAGCAGCGGGATCTGGTGAGAAATCCCCAGGGGCCAGTGTCCTGGGAAGAGGGTGAGGGAACCGGAGATAAGAATGATTCTGAGGAGAGAGAGAAGAATCGGGTTTCTGCTGGGAAGGAGACGAAGTCCCAGTGTGGCCACCAGGAAACCTGGGGTGCATCTCCCTCCGGGAGCAGGCCCTGTGGTCATGAGACTGCCTGGGCAAGGTCTCTGTTTTCATGACAACCCCTGCAGAGCCCCCACCAGTTCTCAAAGAGCTGTATAGGATACAGGGCTGGGGAGCTCAGGGTGTCTGGCTTACACCCTGCTTTACACACATGGTTACCATTTGCACATTGCATGCTCTCTGTCCCCATGTATGTTATACAGGGACATATGCATGCATGACACATGCATACCCATACACACATGGCACACAGAAGCACTCACATATGCTATCCCAAACACCACCATTCTGCAGGGCAGATGTTAGTGTCACTATGCAGCAGCTGAGGAACCGGGGCTCAAGGAGTTGCAATAACATGTCCTTGGTCACACCGATCACAAGACAGGGCCAGGACGTGACTCCAGAGCTCCTGCCCTTGTAGTTGTCCTGCATGACCCCTGGCTCCTGGGACTGAAGTTTCCCCCTTCCTGACCTCAAGGCTGACCTGTAACAGCTGATCCTGTTTCTTTAAGGTGAGGAGCATCCTGGAGCCCAACTTTGAATGCTCGGAGAGCACTCCCTTCACCCTCAAGCCCGAGCTCCTCGCCCCCCTGCAGGGGGAGGTTTTGGCCATAACCTATGGCCTGCTGGAAGAGTGTGGCCTGGAGATGGAGCTGCAGAGCCCCAGGTCAACCTGGGACCTGGAAGCCAAGCAGCCCCTGTCTGCCCTGTATGGGGCCCTGTGTGTGCTGCAGCGGCTGGCCGAGGCCTGAGCCCCCTGGTGGGCAGGCCCAGGGCCAGTGCACTGGGTCAGCCCATGGAGGCTGCCATTGGCCCTGGTGCTGTCTTCTGCTGCAGATGCTGCCAGGCCATTCTCTGCATGTGTGGTTGTGCGGGGAGTTTCAGGCTCCACACATAAATGCTGTCCAGCTTGGTCTTTGTCTGTGTGACTCCTTTCACTGAGCATCGCCCTTCAAGGTTTCCCCATGTCATCACAGGTGGCAGGGGGCTCTGGCTGCTGGGTGAGGGATGGGTTTGGGGGGGGGCATGCATAATGTAGGGAGGGCATTGAAGGGGTTTCTCTAATTGTCCAGGCACTCAGGGGTCTTTTTTAAAAGGTGGGAGCTTGGATAGTGGATATATTATTTAATTCTAGTTTTCACTAGATTCCAGAAATACCTTGTGGAGATTTTACACACACACACACACACACACACACACACACACACACACACACACATTATTGGTAGGTATCAATCCATAGGATCTCATCTTTGTGGTTCATGCATAAATGACAGTGATTGGCGGTACTTTCCCATGCATCTCCAGCTACTGCCAGAAGGTGGCAGCATTGTCACACAGCAGGAAGCTTGGGGGTGCTGCCAGACCTGGTGCTTCACTTGCTTTGGGACTTGGTCATTGAAGTCAGTCTCCTGTCTCCCATCTCTGTTCTCTGGCCTCCCCTCCCTCGTGTCTCCCCCTCCTCCCCCGACATTAGCTTTCTTCCTGATGCATTAACTTTGAATATGGGGTCATGGCGGAGGGGGTTGACACTGGCTTCTTTTAATACCCTCTAGAACCTTCCTTTTCAACACTACCTTGATTGCATTAAAAATGACCCCCTAAAAGAGCCCTGGGAAATAAGACCTGAATTATGGGGAACTTAGAGCCATTTCCAATGTTTCAGAAAAGTTGTAAGTTGGTGAAATGTGAACCTCTTCTGCTGGGATTGTTATGGATTCTGTGATAAACCTGATTGTCTCATGCTGAGCAAAGGCAAAAGCAGAGGAAGCATTTGAATGTCTTTCAGTAAGCAAGGTATATTGTTTCTAAATAAATTCAGTCAAGCCATTGAAATGCGCCAAAATTTCGGGGCCTTGGTCAATGCAGGGGAAAGCAGGGCGGTGCGAATGTTGGGATTCTCTGTCTTGGCAGAAAGGGAGCTGGTGTTCGAGGAGGGAGACAGAGGCAGCTGCAGGGGTCTGGGTGTGCAGTTTGACAGACCACTCTGCACAGCTGATACTCGGTAAGCCATGCTTGAATGAACTGGACTGAGGCAACAGTGACCCTCAGCTTTAGAAGCGGCCGAGTACCTGCTATGGTGCCCACAGGAAGCTTCAAAAGCAGGGTGAGGGTGGGGAATTCCTTCTCTAGGACACTGAAATCAGTGTTTTCAATATTTAGATATTCTTAGGCAATTGGGCATATTTAAAAATGGCCCATCTCACTCTCATCACTAGGACGCTGAGGCTACATACTGGTTTTCTTGCATGCTTCACAGCCTGTAGTGGAGAAAACACTCGTAGGGTTTTCGTTTTTTTGAGGGAGGCATTTAGCCTGGGTCTTTGCATCGTGTCCAGTTACCCTCAGTTCTGGGGCTGGCTTTGCATCCGCCTGGCCCTGGTTGTCACAGGGGGAACAAGACGGGGATTCGCTGTCACTGTTCACCTGCTCTCATTCCTGGGGAGCCTGCAGCTTCCCCAGGACTGAGGGTCTCACAGGACAGGACGGGGAGGAAGGCAGCGGGGACCCTGGGTTTGGGAGTGCCGGTGCTTTCTCCAGACTGGCAGAGAGTGGGAGTGAGTGCTCCCCACCTGCCCCCAGGTGTGCTGGGCGCAGAGGCAGGAGGCTGTCTCCCAGCTCAGTCTGGGTGAAGTCCTCGTCTGACGTGTGACCTGGCTGCAGGAGGACATCAGGACAAGCCTCGAGTGGGATCTGAGAGCTCGTCCCCCTCTGCTGGGACTTCTGAGGCCGGGCCCTGTGTGGATGGTCGGTACCCTGGGCGCATCAGGGCCTGTGTTCCTTCCCTCCGTCTCAGCGAGAGAAACCAAGTGTGCAAATTCCAGCAGCAGTTTTTTGGAGATAATTTCTAGTATCTCCCTTTTAAATAATTTTAAATAGTTGCTGTCTAGTGGTTCTTTGTTAAAAATCTCTCTTTTATTGTCGAGTGAAGCTGCTGTTTCTCGGTGTGCATGAAAGACGGGACAGACTGCCGTGAACTGAAGCCCATTTTCCCACCGAGTGCACAGGACACTAGGTTTTGGGGATGCGGAGTGAGCACTGTAAAACTCTGTCTTCTCAAAAGAGGTGAGAGACGATCGTTGTCTATTATATAACAATCCACCCAAACCATGGCTTAGGACAGCAGACATTTGATTTGTGTTTCCCTGTTGCTGGGGGTTAGGAATTTGGGAGTGGCCTCTCCTGGGTCGTGCAGCCTGGGGGCTCCCCGACGTGAAGGCCGTCCGAGCGGGGCAGAGGCCCCAGTGGACTCCAGGCTGCCCTGCCGCCGGAGGACCTGTCCTCTGTGGTTGGTTCTTTCCCATGGCTGTTGGCAGGAGGCCCGGGCTCCTTATCCCGACTGTCCCCGTGACAGGGCAGGTGGCTTGCCCCAGGGTGACTGAGGAGAGAGAGAGACCTAGACAGAGGGCGAGGGAAGGGAAAGTTCCGTGTCTTCTATGACCTAGACACGCAGGGAGTTTTGCCCATTTGTATTTGCTAGAAGTCAGTCACCAAGACCAGAAGCTCCTGAGAGGAGGAGCTCTGGAGAGAGCCTGAGGACTGATGCTGGAAGCACTCTGTAAATGCATGTCTTCGTTTTGTTTTCCATTCCATTGACCGGAGGCTGGCAGGAACCTACCTCTGTATTTCCTTTTCCTTTTATTTTTTATTGAGAGAAAGAGAGAGGGAGGGAGGAGAAGAGAGAGAGAGAGAGAGAGAGAGAGAGAGAGAGAGAGAAACAGCCATCAGGTACCTCCCGTATGCGCCCCCAGTGGGGATTGAACCTACACTCTACGTATGTGCCATGACTGGGAATTGAACCCACAACCTTTTGGTGTGTGGGATGACACTCCAACCAACTGAGCCACACCCGCCAGGGCTGCATCTTTGTGTTCATACATCTTCCCAGTTCCCTCAGGATGCAAAGCAATCGTTTTGCCCACATATCCGTGTGTTCATTCGCTTGTTCATTCATTCGCTCACTGTCACACACAACAATGTGGATTGAGTGCCCACTACTTGTCAGGAATCCCAGCATTGAAACATTCCTCCTTGTTCCTTCACTGGGACTCTGGAGAGAGCAAAAAATACCTTCCGCTTCCTTAAACATTTGAAAGGCTATTTTCTAGAGTAACCAAGAATTAGATCACCTCACGGAGGTAAAGGTGCACTCCACCCAATCGCAGACGCAGGGAGCAATTGTACTTGCTTCCAGTGTCTGCTGGGTCCCTTTTTGTTTTGGAAATTCTTCTGCTTTTGCAACGGTTGCCTAGCAACCAGAGCTCCGCTCAGTTCGTGCTGGGAGTGTCTGGGAGTGTCGGAGCAGAGCTGCTCAGTACCATTAACATCCACGGGGTTTCCTTAGCAGCAGAGAAACTGCTGGCTGCCCAGCCCTGGAGGGCACCTGGCGCTGCAGAGGGAGGGTGGGCATCCAGGTGGGAAGACCCTGGGAGGGGCCGACTTGGCAGCGGGAGGGGGGCGTGGAGGGAGGGTTGCACACACAAGGCTCCCAGTTCTCCTCAGAGACCACCCACACTGACAGAACTCACAGCCAGGAAAGGATAGCGTTTGTGTTCCCCACGCCCTTGACCCGCGCTTCAGCAGCCCGTGATCGCAACAGAATGACATCGATCATAGAACATGGCTTGTGTCCAAGGAAGTCCCTCACATCTGGGAACATTCTACAGTTGTATGGTCAGGAGCTGTACGTTTTGGGGGTGTTGGCACATAGATAATTCAAATCCAGCTGCTTCCCAAAATTCATCCTAGCCCAAAACAAGAACATCTGATCAGAATCCTTTGTGGTACGTTCTGAAGTAAATTAACCCAGGAAACTCCTACTGGGCACATGCCGTGCACGAGGCTCTGGAGTAGGTGCTATCGACGTGCAAAAAATAATGTTGGGCTCCTCCCCATTCAATCAATCAATGTTTAGTAAGGGTACGATACTCTGCTAGACACGGGGATATAGACATACATAGAATTGGTATATTCCCAGTTCTCACCGTGTTACCTTCAGGGGTGCTTGTGATCACGAGGAAGAGAGGAAAACTCACGTGCTCTCCTGGGGAGGGAGGAGGGAGAACAGACTCTGACAGGTGGGTGAGGATTCTGACAGCCACGCAGGGAACCCACAACTGCTCACACCTGCATTCCTGGACGCTGGCTGCGAAAGCCATCCCTCACGCATGCTTTCCTACCCAAGGGACTGGTTTACAAGCCTCCCCAGCCCGAGGGGTCCCACTGGACTGCGGGAGAGAAAATAAAAGCACGACTCCCTCCCTCCGCCCTCATCCCTGCAATGATCGTTGCTGTGACAGCTTTACCTCTTGCCAAGTCCCTCCCTCTCACTCCAGGAGGGCTCTGCAGTGTCTCACTGTGCTTGCAAATTGTCGTTCCCTGATGCCGAAGGCCCCAGTGGGGAGTCCCCAAAGGCTTGTGAATGGGGGAAAGGGAGGATCAGAGGTGTCTCCAACAGAAATTCACTTACAGGGAGTCGAGTGAGACTGGAATTCAGGAATTTAATTCAGAGTCATGATGGACAGATTATCTATCTATCTATCTATCTCTATCCATTTATCATCTATCTATGCATCATCTGTCTTACTGATTGGCAGTGCTTCCTTATCTTGGGGTGGCGACTCCTCAGTTTTGCTTTGGGGAAGTATCCCTCCCACCCTTAGTCATTCTGATTTGGGTGGGGCTTATCTAACCCTGACCCTGGGCTGGCCTCAGTGCACCGGGTCTGGCTAACAAAAGTGCGCTCAGCACGTGGTTCTGAAACCACAATAATCACTCATGGGATGCTTGTTGG